GTCCTCAGGATATGAACCAATAATTCAATCCTGAATTGAGATCTATGGCCACCCATTTGTTCCAGCCCACACTAGGAGTCTCTGTGATAGTCTGAATTGTTTATCGCAGTGGGGGAAAAAGAGAGAAGAAAAAAAAAAAAAAATAGAAGAAGGCAAAAACCCCCTTATGCACCTCAGGATTAATAATTTGTTAGCAATTAAGATATTTTAAATAAACTCGTGTAATTATACGTTTGAATCCTGCAGTGGGCTTTAAATGTAAAAACAAAACCAGAGGCCTTGGAAGCAGTTTTCTGCGTCGCATGCCTCTGCGACCTTTTAATTCACTGAGAATTTTTATTTACGTCGACTCGATGTTTCTCATGAAGCATGGCTGAGTGTATACACTTTTATTACTGTATACATTTAAGTATCTTCTGGCATATCGGGGCTATTCATACAGCACAGTAACTCACGTATTGAAGAACAAACCCACCATAAATTGCAGCGCAGTCAGTAAAAAGATGCCACAGAAAAAGTGTCCCTGGGAAATTAGACTGACCCAAAGAAAAGCAAATAAAAGAAAGGAAAAGGCCCATATTTTCTTTGCGGTGCTGCTGAAAAGGATGGGAGTATCATTTTCATAGTGGAATAATGTTTTCTGGGAAAACACAAAAGCAGATGTTCCTCATTAGGAACACCCATTGTCTACATATCACAACTATGAACAGATAAATCTCTCCTATTTCACCCATACATTCCAAGGGCTGTAAATGATTACAGGATGCCGCTGTAACTGCTAAACCAAAACCACACTCCGTGCTAAAATAATTCCTCGGTGCCACCCTCGGATGTTTCAGGAGATGGCATGGCAGTCCCTGCCGAGGTCCATCCCCCGGACTTCTCCTCTCCCCGTTGGGCGGGAGGGTCCCCGAAGGCTGGGGCTCCGGCTGGTGACGGGGTGACGGGGTGATTGAGGGGGTGACGGGGTGATGGGGTGATGGGGTGACGGGGTGATGGGGTGACGGGGTGACGGGGTGACAGCCCCGGCCGGCTCTGGCCGTGCTGGCGGGGCATCGCCGCTCGCGTGCTCCGCACTGGCCTTCCAGATGGTACCATCAGAGTCCTACTGCTAGTTGGCATCTCCGTGGGTAGTAAATACCCCCCCTCCCCAATAAATCTGGCATTATTCTATAGAGTTTAGGAGACTTATCATTCCAAGTGTGTCCTACTTTCCTGTATGGAAGCCAGACATCTGTTTATCCCATTTCTTTCATACGGAGTTTGGAATAGCTGTAGTTTGGGGGAATAAAAAGTTTTGTCATATTTAACAGCTGTTACAAAATTTCAATCCCGTAGGCTCTTAAAATACTTTTCGACTGACCTCAGATTTTGTAGATAATTGACATTGCTGGTAGCCACCCCCCTTAACCTTTCCCTGGCTGTAATTTCAGATTATTTTCCCTAAACGAGTTGACTGTTCACGCTGGGTTTTTTTGTTCGGTTGTTTGGGTTTGTTTTGTTTTTTTTTTTTTTTTCCCTTGCTTTTTTTTTTTTTGGGGGGGGGTTGTTGTTGTTGTTGTGTTTTTTTGTTGCTGTGGTGGTGGGGTTTTGTTGTCGTTGGGTTTTGTTTTTCACACCGGCTGCTTGCCGGTGCAGTGCTTTCGCTCCTTCCTACTCCAAGTTTACACCTTCGGCGGGGTTGCGGCGCGGCGGCTGGAGGGCGATGGGGGTTTTTTTTTCGTCAGCAGCGTTTCCTTTCACTTCCCGTCACAAAGGTGAGAGCCGCTGACCTTTGCTGGCAGTCCCGGCCGCTGAATTATTCATGTGATTGACTTTTTGTCAGTGCACACAGTTGTGCTCTGGGACATTTTATTCATTTACCTCATTTAAAGCGCCTTTCTGCACCTGTTCAAGTATTAATATCATGTAATTTGGGCCTAATGCCGATTTTGCTGAACACTCATTATATTTTTTATTAGCTATATTTCCAAACGATTATGTATGATTATTACCAAGCCTTACAAACAGCAATGGGTTATTCCCTAGACCTTTACATCTTCTTGTCAGGTTGTTTTCAGAAGCAAGGAGGATAAACATTTGACCAGTCCCAATGTTTTTATTCCTACTCCATATCCAACCAGAGAACTTAAAGCTTTTTCCCTTATGGCTTTGCGAAAGCATGATTAAATCCAACTCTGCAGAAGCTGTACAAATGCCAGCATTTATAAGGTCAACGCTTTTGTTAAAAATGCTATGTAAATGAGGATCTGCAAAAAGGGACATTAAATAAAATTAAATTCATTGTCTTCTTTAATGTCATTTACATTTTGGCTAAGCCCTGGCCTGTCAAGGAGGATTTTTTAAATAATTTTAATTACACATCATTTAGG